AGTTCGGGGCGATCGTTGCCGGAATATCCGGTGATCATGTCTATTAATTAATCCCGCGGAAAATCCAATGACTGGGTGAAACCGCTAGCTGCTAATAGCAATAGCTATAGCTGCTAGCTAGTTCAATGGAGATTCTAGATTAGATAAAAGGTAAGTCAATAATAGAATCCGTTCCACATTGAGTGAGGCGGGTTGCAGGAAAGTATATTTTGTAGAAGGATGAAAAGTCTGATAGGGAAATATGTACGAAAAATACAAAAAACAGGGTATTTACAGGCTATTTACAAACACCACGACAGATACAGGACTGCAACTACTTCGCCATCTTGGGTCACTTATTTTTGCACCTGCACTAATTCCTTTTTAATTGTGTTTTTCTACTACACGCGTGATTTCCTCTACACCAACATATGGTATTGGTAAATATAACCTGTTATGTCAGATCAAAAAGACTGGTTCTGATTAATGAAGATTTCTTTGGTAAAAATTGAAACAATCTGTAATTGCACAAGGGTTCACATACTTTCAAGCAGCACTGTAAGTAAGTAAGTAAGCATTTATATACAACTGGGAGGTCTGCCTCTCAAATGGCCCCCTTTTCCCTCTGTAGTTCGCTACTTTTGACCTGGACCCAGGGTACACTACTTTTGACCTGGGCCCAGGGTTTGCACTACTTTGACCTGGGCCCAGGGTGCACTACTTTTGACCTGGGCCCAGGGTGCACTACTTTTGACCTGGACCCAGGGTGCACTACTTTTGACCTGGACCAGGGTGCACTACTTTTGACATGGACCCCAGGGTGCACTACTTTTGACCTGGGCCCAGGGTGCACTACTTTTGACCTGGGCCCAGGGTGCACTACTTTTGACCTGGCCCGGGTGCACTACTTTTGACCTGGGCCCTGGTGAAAAGTAGTGCACCAAATAGGGTCCATTTTGGACACAGCCTCGGTTAACTTCTGTTTTAACTCTGCATGTGATGTCTTACTTCAGTGAGAAGGTTGGGGTGCTGGACACAGCTTTCATTCTAGCAGGAGTCTGAGGAGAGAATGCAGCTCCCATTCCTTCATTCTCCTCTTCCTCAGTAATGAAGGATGTAGGCTGTTCCTCTCCTCCCTCAGTCCTCTCTCCTTCACCTCCTTCACCTCCTCCATCTCTACTGTATTGGAGGTGTTCAGACACTCCAGCTATAAAGAGTCAAACAGATTTCACATAGCATCTATACAGAGCATTCAGAAAGTATTCACACCTCTTGACTTTTCAAACATTTTGTTAGGTTACAGCCTTATTCTAAAATTGATTAAATAGTTTTTCCCCCCTCATCAATTTACACACAATACCCCATAATGACAAAGCAAAAACTGGTTTTAGAAACGTTTGCAAATTTATAAAATAAAAAACTGAAATATTGCTTTGTCATTATGGGTTATTGTGTGTTGAATTGATGAGGAAAAAAATAATTTCATCCATTTTTGAATATGGCTGTAACGTAACAAAATGTGGAAAAAGTGAAGGGGTCTGAATACTTTCCGAATGCACTGTATAACACAAGAGTTACGAGGCGTCCAAAATAGCACCCTATTCCCTACATAGTGCACTACTACAGAGCCTTGGGCACTGGTCAAAGTAGTGCACAGTACATTTTAAAGGGGAATAGACTACCATTTGGGACACATCCACTGTGTGCAGGATATAACAGAATAATGAATCTAATGCACAGAACTTCATCAGTGTCCTGTCACTGAATTTAAAGTTCTGTGTCCATGTTTGCGATCTCTTCTAACTGATGCAGATGTTACTTGGGAGTTTTGATTTACAGCAGTACCAAATGTTGTTGAATAATGATTTATTAAGAGCAGACCTGTTCCTCTAGTACACTCCCCTCCTCCTGGTCTGAAGCGTGCATTTCATCTGGAGGACGGATTTAAAACATTTTACCACCAGTATCAATTTAAAAATGGAAATGGGCCCACATGATAAAAAGGATGGTCACAATGAAAGCCCAAAGTGAAGCATTGAAGATCCACCCATTGAAGATCCTACCATGAAGATCCCACCTTGAAGATCCTACCCATGAAGATCCTACCCATTGAAGATCCTACCATTGAAAATCCTACCCTTTGAAGATCCTAACCATTGAAGATCCTAACCATTGAAGATCCTACCCATTGCCTCTGGGTATGACCACATGTCACAGTTTGTGTCTCCTTGTGATGAGGGTGAGCAAAGGTCTTCTCTAGATGCTCTTCAATTCCCTCTCCTTGTTTCTCATGGCCATCCTGCAAAGGACCAGAGGAAGATGGCTGACCACTCTAGTCTAGACTGAACTGAGTCCCCAGCACCCAGGCTATAGATACCTTAGGCTGGGAGAGATGGGAGGAGGAGGGGCCCGGGAGAGATACCGGGAGAGGCGGGGGGGAAGACCAAGGGGGGATTTTACCCGGGAAAAGGCGGAGGGGAAAGGGGGAGAAAGTACCTTGGAGAGAGGAGGGAGGACAGAGAAAAGCAACCCCCCCCCAGGCCCCCGGGGGGAGGAAAAAGGGGGTCTTTTGGGAGAGGATAAACCTGGGGGGGAGATGGAGGGAGGACAGAGAAGTACCCGGGGGGGGACGGAGGGAAAAAAAAGAGATAGATACCTGGGGGAGAGGGGGGGGAGGACAGAGATAGATACCTTGGGAGAGGCCCCCCGGGGGGGAGGACCCGAGATAGATACCGGGAGAAGGGGGGGGGAGGGGCCCGAGAAAAGGACCTGGGAGAAAGAGGGGGGGGAACAGAGAGAGACCTGGGAGAGATTGGGGAGGAAGGATGTAAAAACCCGGGGGGATGGAGGGAGGAACCCCGAGAATTTGGTTTTCCTGGGGGGAAATTAGGGGGGAAAGGACGGGGTAGATCTGGGAGAAGGGAGGAGGGGGCCCGGCAAGAAATTTTAGGGGCGGAACCCAACAAAAATAGTCCCCGGGGGTGGGGGAAACCCCCCCCCGTCCCAAAAGAGGAGGGAGGGGCAGAGAGAGGGTACCCGGGAGAAAAGGAGGGGGACAGAGATTTGATACCTTGGGGGAGAGGAAAGGGGGGAAAAGAGATAGATAACCGGGGGAGATGGAGGGGGGGGACAGAGAAGATAATGGGAGAGAGGAGGGAGGGCAGAGGGGAGGTACCTGGGAGAGATGGAGGGAGGGGACCGAGTAAAAACCTGGGAGAATGGAGGGAGGGGCAGAGATAGATACCTGGGAGAGATGGAAGGGGGGGACAGAGAAGATACCTGGGGGAGATGGAGGGAGGCAAAAAGAGAGAATTTCCCGGGAGGATGGGGGGGAGGAACCCGAGAGGAACCTGGGAGAGTGGAGGGGGGGAAAAAGAGGAGAGAGGGGGAAAAGGGAAAAGAGAGAAGGGAGAGTGGAGGGAGGAAGCGAGGGGGGATTTAAAGGGAGAGATGGAGGGGGGGGGACAGAGAGCCGGGGGAAATCAGGGGGAGGAAAAGGAAAAAGGGGGGGGAGGGGGGGAAAGAGAAGATTTAAAAGGGAGAGAGGAAGGGGAAGGGAAAGATAGATACCGGGGGAGATGGAGGGGGAGGACAAGGGGGAGAAGATAACCTTTGGGAGAGAGGAGGGGGGGGGCAGAGGAAAATACCTGGGAGAGGGGGGGGAGGACAAAAAGAGATAAAGGGGGAGGATGGGGGGGGAGGGGCAGAGATAGATACCTGGGAGAGAGGAAGGGAAGGGGCAGAGATAGATACCTGGGAGAAAGAGGAGGGAAGGGGAAAAAGATAGATACCTGGGAAGAGGGGGGAGGGGGGGAAAGAGATAGATACCTTGGAGGGAGGGCGGAGGGAGGAGGAACCAGAGATAGGGAGGGGAGAGATTGGGAGGGGGGAGGACAGGGGAGAGATAACCCGGGAGAGATTTGGGGGGAGGACAGAGATAGATTAAACCCCTTTTTGGGAAGGGGGGGAGGAGGGAAGGGCAGAGATAGTACCTGGGAGAAAATGGGGGGGAGGGCCCGGGGATAGACCTTTTGGGGAGCCGGAGGGAGGCCCGAGATAGATACCGGGGGGAAAATGGAGGGGGGGGACAGAGAGAGATACCCGGGAGAGATGGAGGGGAAAAGGGAGAGGATTCCTGGGGGGAGAATTTTTGGAGGGGGCCCGGATTAGATAAAGGGGGAGAGATGGAGGGAGGAAAGAGATAGATACCGGGGGAGAGATGGAGGGGGGACAGAGATAGATTTCCCGGGGGAGATGGGGGGAGGAAAGAGAAGGTACCCCGGGGGAGAGGAGGGGAGGACAGAAAATTGGAAACCGGGGGGAGGGATGGAGGGGGGACAGGAAGATACCTGGGGGGGAGGGGGGGAGGACAGAGAGAGATACCTGGGAGAGGGGGAGGGAGGACAGAGAAGGGGAACCCGGGAAAAGGGGAAAGGAGGGGGGACAGAGAAGATCCTGGGGAGGGGGAAAGGGGGGGGAGGACAGGGGAAAATACCTGGGGGGAGATGGAGGGAGGGGCAGAGAGAGGGTAACCGGGGGGAGATGGGGGGAGGAAAGGAAAGAGAAGGGGGGTTCCCCCGGGGGGATGGAGGGAGGGCAAGGGGAGATAAAGGGAGAGATGGAGGGAGGACCCAAAAGAAGATTTTCCTGGGGGGGATGGAAAGGGGGGGACAAAAGAAGATACCTGGGGGAGAGGAGGGAAGGACGGGGAAAGGTTTCCTGGGGAGAGGAGGGGAAGGGACAGGGGGATAACTTGGGGGGAAAAGGGGGGGGGACAGAGGGGAAAATACCTGGGGGAGATGGAGGGGGGGGAAAGAGGGGGAAGGATGAGAAAAGGAAAAACCGGGGGGAGAGGAGGGGAAAGGGCCCGAGAGAGAAACGGGGGGAGATGGAGGGAGGGCGAGATTTGATAACGGGAGGATGGAGGGGGGGGAAAAGGGGATAGGGTAACCCCGGGGGAAAAGGGGGAGGGGGAAAGGGGACAGAGATAGATAAAGGGAGAGATGGAGGGGGGGAAACCCCAGATAGATAACCTGGGAGAGAATGGGGGGCGGAGGAAAGGGGGAAAGGAAAGGGGACGGATTTGGAAAAGGGGGAGGGGGAAAAGAGATTTATTACCTGGGAGAGGGAGAGATGGAGGGGGGGGACAGAGGGGAAAATACCCCCGGGAGGGGGATGGAGGGGAGGAAGGAGAATAGATTCCTTGGGGGAGCGGAGGGAGGAAAGAGATTTGATACCTGGGGGAAAAGGAAGGGGGGGACAGGAAGAACCCCCGGGGGAGATGGAGGGGGGACGGAAAAATACCCTTTGGGGGAGATTTAGGGAGGGGCGAGGAGATACCTGGGGGAGAGAAGGAGGGGGGGGACAGAGATTTAAACCTGGGAGAGATGGAGGGAGGACAGAGAAGATAACCCGGGGGAGATGGAGGGGAGGGGGCAGAGATAGAACCCCGGAGAGACGGAGGGGGACGAGATTTGATACCTGGGAGAGATGGAGGGAAAGGGCAGAGGAGATTTTGGGGGAGAGATGGGAGGGGGACAGAGAGGATTTCCTGGGAGAAGGAGGGAGGACAGAGATAGTACCGGGGGGAGAAGGAGGGAGGACAAGAAAAGATGGGTACCTGGGAGAGATGGAGGGAGGAAAGAAAAAGGGGGATCCAAAGGGGAGCAAAATGGAGGGGAGGGAAAAAAAATTGATAATTGGGGGGAGAAGGAGGGAGGAAAGAGATAGGGGAAAAATGGAGAGATGGGGGGAGGGCAGAGGGGAGATACCTGGGGAAAAGAGGGGGGGGAGGACCCGAGAGAAGGGTACCGGGGAGAGAGGGGGGGAGGAAAGGAAAGAAAACCTGGGAGAGAGGAGGGGGGGAAAGAAGATTTCCCGGGAGGGATGGAGGGAGGGAAAGGGGAAGAGAAAATGGGGGAGTGGGGGGGAGGAAAGAGAGAGATACCGGGGGGGGGGGGGAGAGTTGGGGGGTGGGGGGAGGACAGAGGAAAAAAAGTACCGGGGGGAGGGTGGAGGGGGGAACAGAGATAGTACCTGGGAGGGGAAGGAGGGGAAAAAACCTGGGAAAACGCAAGGGGGGGACCGGTGGAAGGGGAGGGGGAAGGGAAAAGATGGGTACCTGGGAGGGGATGGAGGGAGGGACAGGGGACGATACCTGGGAGAAGGGGGGAGAAGGGAGGAAGGGAAAAGAGATACCCGGGGGAGATGGAGGGAGGACAGAGAAGAACCGGGAGGAGGAGGGGGGGGACAGAGAAGATAACCCGGGGGGGGAGATGGAGGGAGGAAAGAGAAAAAAATGGGGGGGGAGAGGGGGGGGCGGGGTTGGGAGGGGAGGACCCGAGAAGATACCTGGGGAGATGGAGGGAGGGGGGACAAAAGATTGATACCTGGGAGGAGGGGGGGGGACAGAGAAAATTTCCTGGGGGGAGATGGGAGGGAGGACAGAGAAGAATTTCCCTTTGGGGGAGAGGAGGGGGGGACCCGAGAAGAACCTGGGAAAAGATGGGAAAGGGGGGACAGGAGAGATACCTGGGGAGAGGAGGGGGGGGCAAAAGAGCATACCTTGGGGGAAAATGGAAGGGGGGGACCCGAGATTAAAAATACCTGGGAAGAGAGGAGGGAAGGGAAAAAGATAGATACCTGGGAGAGAAAGGGGGGGAAAGAGTAGATAATTGGGGGGAGGGAGGGAGGACAGAGATAGTTTCCCGGGGAGAGAGGAGGGGGGGACAGAGAGAGATACCGGGAGAGATGGGGGGGAACGGGAAGGGGAAGGGGGGGAAAGAGACTTGATTTCCTGGGAGAGATGGAGGGGAGGACAGAGATAGATACCCCGGGAGAGAGGAGGGAGGACCCGAGGGGATTTCCTGGGGGAGATGGGGGAGGACCCGGGGAAAGATACCCGGGGGAGAAGGAGGGAGGCAGAGAAAGATACCTGGGAGAGATGGAAAGGGGGGGACCCGAGAGATACCCCGGGGGAGATGGAGGGAGGGGGGAAGGGAAGATAACCCGGGAGAGGGAGGGACGCCCGGAAAATTAGATACCCGGGAGAGATGGGGGGGAGGAAAGAGATAGATACCCTGGGGGGAAAAGGGGGGAAAGGGGGCCGAAAATTTGATACCTGGGAGAGATGGAGGGAGGACAGAGATAGATACCTGGGAGAGATGGAGGGAGGAGATGTCTAGTGGAGACTGATGGTCATCCTCAGCCTGAGACGCTGACTGTCTGTGAGACTCTGCTGCCGTCAGTAGACCAGAGATGCTGGACAAAAAGGTTAAGGACTACATTTCCTCAGCCAAGGACTACATTTCCTCAGCCAAGAACAGCTCACCTTATCTGACACACTTCCAGAGGACTACATTTCCTCAGCCAAGAACAGGACACACTTCCAGAGGACTACATTTCCTCAGCCAAGAACAGGACACACTTCCAGAGGACTACATTTCCTCAGCCAAGAACAGCTCACCTTATCTGACACACTTCCAGAGGACTACATTTCCTCAGCCAAGAACAGCTCACCTTATCTGACACACTTCCAGAGGACTACATTTCCTCAGCCAAGAACAGCTCACCTTATCTGACACACTTCCAGAGGACTACATTTCCTCAGCCAAGAACAGCTCACCTTATCTGACACACTTCCAGAGGACTACATTTCCTCAGCCAAGAACAGCTCACCTTATCTGACACACTTCCAGAGGACTACATTTCCTCAGCCAAGAACAGCTCACCTTATCTGACACACTTCCAGAGGACTACATTTCCTCAGCCAAGAACAGCTCACCTTATCTGACACACTTCCAGAGGACTACATTTCCTCAGCCAAGAACAGCTCACCTTATCTGACACACTTCCAGAGGACTACATTTCCTCAGCCAAGAACAGCTCACCTTATCTGACACACTTCCAGAGGACTACATTTCCTCAGCCAAGAACAGCTCACCTTATCTGACACACTTCCAGAGGACTACATTTCCTCAGCCAAGAACAGCTCACCTTATCTGACACACTTCCAGAGGACTACATTTCCTCAGCCAAGAACAGCTCACCTTATCTGACACACTTCCAGAGGCTATAAGGACACTCCTGACTAATCTAAAACTGACCCTCAACTTAACCCTAACCAATTCTGAAATTAAATATACGATATGCTACTCCAAATATTGCGATATCTGATATAATCATTTTGGCCCGGTAATGACTAGATCATTCCAGACTATAATTGTTGATCTTTTATACAATATTATAATCACATTCTCATTAAATAATCTTTGTGTGGTGAAAAAATTAGGCTTAGTTCATTTATTTAGACTTCATTTACCATATTGATACAGCCTAACAAATAACACTTCACAATTTTGATTTGTAATGTTGAAATAGAGTATGGTCTTGAACATCACAATATACCTTCTTGCACTTGTCAATGTCAAATATCACAATATCGATTTAATCATATATTGGCCCAACCCTAATCGTTTTGCAGGTCAGTGAGTTTCGGTTGACATTAACCGTGCAAAAGGATACCTTTCCAATGGGTTCTCGATGGACAATGTTTGACCTGAGGGAAGAAAGAAATAAGCTTGTACTTCTTTGCACTGTACATCAAACCAACAACACAGGATATTCAATGGACTAAAACGTGTTGGTTACCTAGTAGAGGATATTGGTTACCATATAGGTTACCTAGTAGAGGATATTGGTTACCATATTGGTTACCTAGTAGAGGATATTGGTTACCATATTGGTTACCTAGTAGAGGATATTGGTTACCTAGTAGAGGATATTGGTTACCATATTGGTTACCTAGTAGAGGATATTGGTTACCATGTTGGTTACCTAGTAGAGGATATTGGTTACCATATTGGTTACCTAGTAGAGGATATTGGTTACCATATTGGTTACCTAGTAGAGGATATTGGTTACCATATTGGTTACCTAGTAGAGGATATTGGTTACCATGTTGGTTACCTAGTAGAGGATATTGGTTACCATATTGGTTACCTAGTAGAGGATATTGGTTACCATATTGGTTACCTAGTAGAGGATATTGGTTACCATATTGGTTACCTAGAAGAGGATATTGGTTACCATATTGGTTACCTAGTAGAGGATATTGGTTACCATATTGGTTACCTAGTAGAGGATATTGGTTACTATATTGGTTACCTAGTAGAGGATATTGGTTACCATATAGGTTACCTAGTAGAGGATATTGGTTACCATATTGGTTACCTAGTAGAGGATATTGGTTACCATATAGGTTACCTAGTAGAGGATATTGGTTACCATATTGGTTACCTAGTAGAGGATATTGGTTACCTAGTACAGTGTTTCCCAACTCCAGTCCTCCAGTATCCCCAACAGCACACGTTGTTGTAGCCAGGGACAAACTCACCTGATTCAAGTCATCCAGGGCTTGATGATTAGTTGACTAGTTGAATCAGGTGTGGTTGTCCAGTGCTGCAACATTCATGTGTACTATTGGGAACCACTGCCCTAGTAGTTACCTCGTAGATCCTGCAGAGCTTTCTCTTTGGCTGTTATCTGGTCCTCACAAGCTTTAATCCTGCTTTCAAGCTCTTCTTTTTCTGACTGGATCATCAGCAGCTGCTTGGCCAGAGGATTCTGCCAGTAGCTCTCTTTGTGCTTCTGGAAAACCTTCCTGTAGCGCTCTATTCTCTCCTGGTACACTTTCCTACAGCAGACACACTGGAGGCCTAAGTATAACTGATGCAGTGTTATGGGTTGTCTAATAATTCTGTACTTTTTCACTGCACTAGTTGAGAGCATCTGCTAAATGACCATAATATAAATGTCAAGACAAAATGTAGGCCTACATGTCTTGATTGCAGTTGTCTCGTCTCCTCTTCAGTTCAGCCTGCAGAGTCTTCTCATACTGCAACAGGAGGCTGTTAGCCCCCTTTAGACTGCAGGAGAGGGGGTACAATGATACAATAAATCACAGCAGGGCCTGTATTGGTCCAGGATCAGGTCCCCCCTGTCTATATAATGATATTCATATGATCTACAGTAAAGGGCAAAACTGATCCTAGATCACCACTCCTACTCTGAAATGTTTTGTGAATACAATCCAAAGCTAGGGCAGGCCTCCAAACACGACGAGTTGAGTTTTTACCAAAAAGTTCTATTTTGGTTTCATCTGACCATATTACATTCTCCCAATCCTCTTCTGGATCATCCAAATGCACTCTAGCAAACTTCTGACGGGCCTGGACATGTACTGGCTTAAGCAGGGGGACACGTCTGGCACTGCAGGATTTGAGTCCCTGGCGGCGTTGTGTGTTACTGATGGTAGGCTTTGTTACTTTGGTCCCAGCTCTCTGCAGGTCATTCACTAGGTCCCCCCGTGTGGTTCTGGGATTTTTGCTCACCGTTCTTGTGATCATTTTGACCCCACGGGGTGAGATCTTGCGTGGAGCCCCAGATCGAGGGAGATTGTACTTCTTCCATTTCCTAATAATTGCTCCCACAGTTGATTTCTTCAAACCAAGCTGCTTACCTATTGCAGATTCAGTCTTCCCAGCCTGGTGCAGGTCTACAATTTTGTTTCTGGTGTCCTTTGACAGCTCTTTGGTCTTGGCCATAGTGGAGTTTGGAGTGTGACTGTTTGAGGTTGTGGACAGGTGTCTTTTATACTGATAACAAGTTCAAACAGGTGCCATTAATACAGGTAACGAGTGGAGGACAGAGGAGCCTCTTAAAAAAGAAGTTACAGGTCTGTGAGAGCCAGAAATCTTGCTTGTTTGTAGGTGACCAAATACTTATTTTCCACCATAATTTGCAAATAAATTCATTAAAAATCCTACAATGTGATTTTCTGGATAGTTGACGTGTACCTATGATGAAAATTACAGGCCTCTCTCATCTTTTTAAGTGGGAGAACTTGCACAATTGGTGGCTGACTAAATACTTTTTTTCCCCACTGTATGTCTGCAGCATTGAGCGTGGCCTCCATCATTTTTAAATGGAAGAAGTTTGGAACCACCATGACTCTTCCTAGAGCTGGCCGCCCGGCCAAACTGAGCAATCGGGGGAGAAGGGCCTTGGTCAGGGAGGTGACCAAGAACCCGATGGTCACTCTGACAGAGCTCCAGAGTTCCTCTGTGGAGATGGGAGAACCTTCAAGAAGGACAACCATCTCTGCAGCACTCTACCAATCAGGCTTTTATGCTAGAGTGGCCAGATGGAAGCCACTCCTCAGAAAAAGGCACATGACAGCCCACTTGGAATTTGCCAAAAGGCACCTAAAGGACTCTCAGACCATAAGAAACAACATTCTCTGGTCTGATGAAACCAAGATTGAACTCTTTGGCCTGAATGCCAAGCGTCACGTCTGGAGGAAACCTGGCACCATCCCAACGGTGAAGCATGGTGGTGGCAGCATCATGCTGTGGGGATGTTTTTCAGCTGCAGGGACTTGGAGACTAGTCAGGATCGAGGGAAAGATGAAAACCTGCTCCAGAGTGCTCAGGACCTCAGACTGGGGCGAAGGTTCACCTTCCAACAGGACAACGACCCTAAGCACACAGCCAAGACAACGCAGGAGTGGCTTCGGAACAAGTCTCTGAATGTTCTTGAGTGGCCCAGGCAGAGCCCGGACTTGAACCCGATCTCTGGAGAGACCTGAAAATAGCTGTGCAGCAACGCTCCCCATCCAACCTGACAGAGCTTGAGAGGATCTGCAGAGAAGAATGGGAGAAACTCCCCAAATACAGGTGTGCCAAGCTTGTAGTGTCATATCCAAGAAGAATCCAGGCTGTAATCGCTGCCAAAGGTGCTTCAACAAAGTGTTGAATAAAGGGTCTGAATACTTACGTAAATGTGATATTTCCGTTGTTTTTATTTTTTTTATTCATTTGAAAAATATTTATGGGGTATTGTGTGCAGATTGATGAGGGGAAAAAAGGATTTAATCAATTTTAGAATAAGGCTGTAACGTAAGAAAATGTGGAAAAAGTCAAGGGGTCTGAAAACTTCACGAATGCACTGTATTAAGCATGAATCAGTTAAATTAGACATTGAACTTGAACCCTGTAAGAATCCTGGATCTAGCTGTCAGGAATGCAGTGTGTCATGACTCTCCTGGGTGAGCATCCAAGGCCTCAGATCAGCTTGGCAAATGGCTGACGATGACCAGACCCCCTCTCATCCACAGAAGAGGGGAGGGTAGGCTTGAAAGACAAATTCACATCAGACGGTCATTATCCAGACGGACATCATCCACACATTTAGAACACGAGGGGAAGAAGATCAAGTCACCAGACTAGACCAGAACATTCTGCAGTGTTTTAAGAGGTCTGGAACTTTGACTAACATAGTTAACTGATTCGATAGATAACAGTCATCATATTAATGAAAGTCACGTCACGACAAGTGTAACTACAGTTGAAGTCGGAAGTTTACATACACTTCTTGTTAACAAACTATAGTTTTGGCAAGTCGGTTAGGACATCTACTTTGTGAATGACACAAGTAATTTTTCCAACAATTGTTTATAGACAGATTATTTCACTTATAATTCACTGTATCACAATTCCAGTGGGTCAGAAGTTTACATACACTAAATTGACTGTGCCTTTAAACAGCTTGGAAAATTCCAGAAAATGATGTCATGGCTTTAGAAGCTTCTGATAGGCTAATTGACATAATTTGAGTCAATTGGAGGTGTACCTGTGGATGTATTTCAAGGCCTACCTTCAAACTCAGTGCCTCTTTGCTTGACATCATGGGAAAATCAAAAGAAATCAGCCAAGACCTCAGGAAAAATTTGTAGACCTCCACAAGTCTGGTTCATCCTTGGGAGCAATTTCCAAACGCCTGAAGTTACCACGTTCATCTGTACAAACAATAGTACGCAAGTATAAACACCATGGGACCACGCAGCCGTCATACCGCTCAGGAAGGATACGCGTTCTTTCTCCTAGAGATGAACGTACTTTGATGCGAAAATCAATCCCAGAACAACAGCAAAGGACCTTGTGAAGATGCTGGAAGAAACAGGTACACAAGTATCTATATCCACAGTAAAACGAGTCCTATATTGACATAACCTGAAAGGCCGCTCAGCAAGGAAGAAGCCACTGCTCCAAAACCGCCATAAAAAAGCCAGACTACGGTTTGCAACTGCACATGGGGACAAAGATCGTACTTTTTGGAGAAATGTCCTCTGGTCTGATGAAACAAAAATAGAACTGTTTGGCCATAATGACCATCGTTATGTTTGGAGGAAAAAGGGGGTGCTTGCAAGTCGAAGAACACCATCCCAACCGTGAAGTACGGGGGTGGCAGCATCATGCTGTGGGGGTGCTTTGCTGCAGGAGGGATTGGTGCACTTCACAAAATAGATGGCATCATGAGGAAGGAACATTATGTGGATATATTGAAGCAACATCTCAAGACATCAATCAGGAAGTTAAAGCTTGGTCGCAAATGGGTCTTCCAAATGGACAATGACCCCAAGCATACTTCCAAAGTTGTGGCAAAATGGCTTAAGGACAACAAAGTCAAGGTATTGGAGTGGCCATCACAAAGCCCTGACCTCAATCCTATAGAACATTTGTGGGCAGAACTGAAAAAGCGTGTGCGAGCAAGGAGGCCTACAAACCTAACTCATTTACACCAGCTCTGTCAGGAGGAATGGGCCAAAATTCACCCAACTTATTGTGGGAAGCTTGTGGAAGGCTACCCGAAACGTTTGACCCAAGTTAAACAATTTAAAGGCAATGCTACCAAATACTAATTGAGTGTATGTAAATTTCTGACCCACTGGGAATGTGATGAAAGAAATAAAAGCTGAAATAAATCATTCTCTCTACTATTATTCTGACATTTCACATTCTTAAAATAAAGTGGTGATCCTAACTGACCTAAGACAGGGAACTGTTCCTAGGATTAAATGTCAGGAATGGTGAAAAACTGAGTTTAAATGTATTTGGCTAAGGTGTATGTAAACTTCCGACTTCAACTGTACGTAACATTTTGTGTCTCCTTATGTTATGGGGTGAAAACAGTTTTCATGGGCAAACAAATCCAAAATAATGTATTGATTGCAAAATTGAATGCTTCTAACAGAAATGGTCACCTTAGCTTGATACTTAAAACCTAAATCGATACTGTCATTAACATGGTTCTTCAATAATTATGCATAACACTTGTTGGATGTGGTGTCCAGCTTGTCAGGTACGCCATGATATTTTCACACATCATCATCTGATCCAAATGACAGTCATGTGACTAACAGCTGTTGTGATAGCACATGCGATGCAACAACAGCCCAAGTTCTGGAAAAAAGGTGTTCGCGGAGGAATGTCCAGATTATTTTGGTGTCTCATTCATTATGCTGGTGAAGACAGAGTTGCCTGGATCCACGTTGGATCTATCCTTAGGGAATTGATGTTGATAGTCTGTGGTTGTCTGCTTGATTTCCAGCAGGGTCTCGTTAGATTCAACAGAGAAAGCATCAAGGTAATGTGTTCATGTTTTCATATGTTTTTGTGCCTCGGATTGGACACAGTCAACTGTGCGCAATTGTGTATTATAGACAATTGAGCAACAGCCAATGCTATTTCTATTAATTATTCTGGATATAATGACAACAAATGACATAGCCTAGTGGTCTTGTTCATAATATGATCTGGTAATGAAATAACATGACAAATACACTAAGTATACAAAACATTATCCATGACAGTATCCATCACATAAACTGACCAGGTGAATCCAGGTGAAAGCTATGATCCCTTATTGATGTCACTTTTTAAATCCACTTCAATCAGTGTAGATGAAGGGGAGGAGACGGGTTAAAGAAGGATTTTTAAGCCTTGAGACAATTGAGACGGATTGTGTATGTGTGCCATTCAGAGGGTGAATGGGCAAGACAAAAGATTGAAGTGTCTTTGAACAGGGTATGGTAGTAGGTGCCAGGCGCACCGGTTTGCGTCAAGAACTGCAACGCTGCTGGGTTTTTCATACTCAACAGTTTCGCGTGTGTATCAAGAATGGTCCACTACCCAAAGGACATCCAGCCAACTTGACACAACTGTGGGAAGCCTTGGAGTCAACATGGGCCAGCATCCCTGTGGAACGCTTTCGACACCTTGTAGAGTCCACGCCCCGACAAATTTAGGCTGTTCTGAGGGAAAAATGGAGTGGGGGGGGCAACTCAATATTAGAAAGGTGTTCGTAATGTTTGGTATACTCAGTGTACATTTTGGTTTCCATGTTACATCTGCAATGTTAAACAATACAAGGGGCTTGAAATAGCCTACTTGAACTTACATTTGGAGCTCAGAAATTAAAGTACTGGAATAGGCCTACCTTGAAAATCTGACATTTCCTCAATTTGGTGCTTGAAAGGTTAATGTAATTATTGTAGCCAATTTATAAGTTATCCTGCTCCCTTATAATTGTCTGTGATTTCATTTGTGATCAATTTTGTGAGAGATGTGGCCACTTTCGTTTGTTTCCCACTGCTTAAATGGAAGGGTGTTGCGCTGCTCTGTTGCGGTTAAACCATGTGTGGTTATTATGAGGACGACAACATCGGTTGCTTCAACTTTGCTTTCCATACAAATCCTTCCATTAAAAAGGGAACCTGGTTTTTGGTCACTTTCTAATTATAAAAATTGGCAAGTCCTAAAAAAAATCCTTATTCTTAAAATGGTAATGGCCTACTTTCTTTTCGCGGGGGTAAATTATACAATTGTATAACATTGAGGTCCTTGAAAATGATAATGAAGTACTTGAAAGTCCCTGAAAGTACTTGAATTTCAACCCTGCTTAAAGGATGTATAGTTATGGGACAATTTGCATATATTCATTTTCATTCCTCTAAATATACATGTGGAACTGCATGAAAAACCTTTTTATTTTTGTTTCAAACCATTTTGAAATGTTGATCCCAATATGACACATTGGCCCCATTATTTATAAAGACCCACCTACAAAAAACACAAAAAACTTTTGCTTTACCTTTTCGTATTGCCTTTGAGATGCTTCACAATGTTCTGCTTATGATGACATTCTTCCTCAAGCTTCCTGATGTTTCTCTGGATCCCTTTGATGTAGGATTTCTTCTCAGCAACATTGGCTTTGCCGACTGACAAAACAATAAACTGATTAATGAACACCATACACCTAAAACATTAGGTAACCACAACAGAACATGTTACACATGGCCTTCCCTTGATATGATCTTTATAAAGGCCTGAGACTGTTGGATTGTCCCACTTCTTTTTGTTTTAACAACAAGTTTTTCAATTCATAGGATTCATACAATACATCCTATACAGTGCATTCAGAAAGTATTCAGACCCCTTGACTTTTTCCACATTTTGTTACGTTACAGCCTTATTCTAAAATTGATGAAATTATATTTTTTCCTCATCAATCTACACACAATACCCCATAATGACAAAGTGAAAACAGGTTCTTAGACATTTTTGCAAATGTATTAAAAATAAAAAAACTGAAATACCTTATTTACATAAGTATTCAGACCATTTGCTATGAGACTCAAAATTGAGCTCAGGTGCATCCTGTTTCCATTGATCATCCTTGAGATGTTTCTACAACTTGATTGGAGTCCACCTGTGGTAAATTCAATTGATTGGACATGATTTGGAAGGGAACACACCTGTCTATATAAGGTCCCACAGTTGACAGTGCATGTCAGAGGACAAACCAAGCCATGAGGTCGAAGGAATTGTCCGTAGAGCTCCGAGACAGGATTGTGTCGAGGCACAGATTTGGGGAAGGGTACCAAAAAATTTCTGCAGCATTGAAGGTCCCCAAGAACACAGTGGCCTCCATCATTCTTAAATGGAACCACCAAGACTCTTCCTAGAGCTGGCCGCCCGGCCAAACTGAGCAATCTGGGGAGAAGGGCCTTGGTCAGGGAGGTGACCAAGAACCCGATGGTCACTCTGACAGAGCTCCAGAGTTCCTCTGTGGAGATGGGAGAACCTTCCAGAAGGACAACCATCTCTGCAGCACTCTACCAATCAGGCCTTTATGCTAGAGTGGCCAGATGGAAGCCACTCCTCAGTAAAAGGCACATGACAGCCCGCTTGGAGTTTGCCAAAAGGCACCTAAAGACTCTCAGACCATGAGAAACAACATTCTCTGGTCTGATGAAACCAAGATTGAACTCTTTGGCCTGAATGCCAAGTGTCACGTCTGGAGGAAACCTGGCACCATCCCTATGGTGAAGCATGGTGGTGGCAGTAGGGCTGTTGCGGTGACCGTATTAACCCCCACACCGGCGGTCACGAGTCATGAAGGCAGTCAAATTCCACATGACCATTTAGTCACGGTAACTAGGCTTCTCCAAGCTCTGATGCTGCTGATGGTCATTAGTATCCTACCAAACTTGATAAACTGCCTGGTACTCAGCACTCTATTGTCCCTCTAATCACTCTGACATCAATGCAAATGTTTTCGAAAATCTAATCAAACACTTCATGAGACCCATGAGCTCATGTTGCGCAACACATTTTTAAAAGAAAAATGTCAAATAAAAAAATAAAAGCAAATAGCTAAAGAGCAGCAGTAAAATACAATAACAGTAGGGAGGCTATATACAGGGGGTACCGGTACAGAGTCAATGGGAAATAACAGTAGGGAGGCTATATACAGGGGGTACCGGTACAGAGTCAATGGGAAATAACAGTAGGGAGGCTATATACAGGGGGATACCGGTACAGAGTCAATGGGAAATAACAGTAGGGAGGCTATATACAGGGGGTACCGGTACAGAGTCTATGGGAAATAACAGTAGGGAGGCTATATACAGGGGGATACCGGTACAGAGTCAATGGGAAATAACAGTAGGGAGGCTATATACAGGGGGTACCGGTACAGAGTCAATGGGAAATAACAGTAGGGAGGCTATATACAGGGGGGTACCGGTACAGAGTCAATGGGAAATAACAGTAGGGAGGCTATATACAGGGGGTACCGGTACAGAGTCAATGGGAAATAACAGTAGGGAGGCTATATACAGGTGGGTACCGGTACAGAGTCAATGTGCGGGGGGACCGGCTAGTTGAGGTAGTTGAGGTCATATGTACATGTGGGTAGAGTTAAAGTGACTATGCATAAATAGTAAACAGAGTAGCAGCAGCGTAAAAGAGGGGGATGGGGTGGGGGGAGGGGTCTTGGTCTCTGACCTCCTCCCTATAGGCTGTCTCATCGTTGTCGGTGATCAGTCCTACCAAGGTTGTGTCGTCGGCAAACCTAATGATGGTGTTGGAGTCATGCCTGGCCATGCAGTCATGGGTGAACAGGGAGTACAGGAGGGGACTGAGCACGCACCCCTGAGGGGCCCCCGTGTTGAGGATCAGTGTGGCAGACGTGTTGTTACTTACCCTTACCACCTGGGGGCGGCCCATCAGGAAGTCCTGGATCCAGTTACAGAGGGAGGTGTTTAGTCCCAGGGTCCTTAGCTTAGTGATGAACGCTGAGCTGTAGTCAATTCTCACGTAGGTGTTCCTCTTGTCCATGTTGGAAAGGGCAGTGTGGAGTGCAATAGAGATTGCATCATCTGTGGATCTGTTGGGGCGGTATGCAAATTGGAGTGGGTCTAGGGTTTCTGGGATAATGGTGTTGATGTGAGCCATGACCAGCCTTTCAAAGCACTTCATGGCTACAGACGTCAGTGCTACGGGTCGGTAGTCATTTAGGCAGGTTATCTTAGTGTCCTTGGGCATGGGGACTATGGTGGTCTGCTTGAAACATGTTGGTATTACAGACTCAGTCAGGGACATGTTGAAAATGTCAGTGAAGACACTTGCCAGTTGGTCAGCACATGCTCGGAGTACACGTCCTGGTAATCCGTCTGGTCCTGCGGCCTTGTGAATGTTGACCTGCTTAAAAGTCTTACTCACATCGGCTACGGAGAGCGTGATCACATAGTCATCCGGAACAGATGATGCTCTCATGCAAGCTTCAGTGTTGCTTGCCTCGAAGCGAGCATAGAAGTGATTTAGCTCGTCTGGTAGGCTTGTGTCACTGGGCAGTTCGCGGCTGTGCTTCCCTTTGTAGTCTGTAATAGTTTTCAAGCCCTGCCATATCCGACGAGCGTCAGAGCTGGTGTAGTACGATTCAATCTTAGTCCTGTATTGACTCTTTGCCTGTTTGATGGTTCGTCGGAGGGCATAGCGGGATTTCTTATAAGCGTTCGGGTTAGAGTCCCGCTCATTGAAAGCGGCAGCTCTACCCTTTAGCTCAGTGCGGATGTTGCCTGTAATCCATGGCTTCTGGTTGGGGTATGTACGTACAGTCACTGTGGGGACGATGTCATCGATGCACTTATTGATGAAGCCGGTGACTGATGTGGTGTACTCCTCAATGCTATCTTAAGAATCCCGGAACATATTCCAGTCTGTGCTAGCAAAACAGTCCTGTAGCTTAGCATCTGCGTAATCTGACCACTTTTCTATTAACTGAGTCACTGGTGCTTCCTGCTTTAGTTTTTTATTATAAGCAGGAATCAGGAGGATAGAGTTATGGTCAGATTTGCCAAATGGAGGGCGAGGGAGAGCTTTGTTTGCGTCTCTGTGTGTGGTCTAGAGTTTTTTTTCCTCTGGTTGCACATTTAACATGCTGATAGAAATTAGGCAGAACGGATTCAAGTTTCCCTGCATTAAAGTCCCCGGTCCAGTAGGAGCGCTGCCTCTGGATGAGCGTTTTCCTGTCTGCTTATGGCCTTATACAGCTCATTGAGTGCGGACTTAGTGCCAGCATCGGTTTGTGGGGGTAGATAGACAGCTACAAAAAATATAGATGAAAACTCTCTTGGTAGATAGTGTGGTCTACAGCTTCTCATGAGATTCTCTACCTCAGGCGAGCAAAACCTCGAGACTTCCTTAGTATTAGATTTCATGCACCAGCTGTTGTTTACAAATATACACAGACCGCCACCCCTTGTCTTACCGGAGTCAGCCGTTCTATCTTGCTGATGTATCATATATCCTGCCAGCTGTATGTCGTCGTTCAGCCACGATGTCGCGTTGGAAGGATAACCTTAGTCTTAGGTCATCCAATTTGTTCTCAAATGAATGAACATTGGCTAATAGGATTGATGGAAGAGGCAGTTTACTCGCTCGCCGTCGGATCCTTACAAGGCACCCGACCTACGTCCACGATATCTCCGTCTCTTTCTCATGCGAATGACGGGGATTTGGGCCTTGTCGGGTGTCTGTAGAATATCCTTCGCGTCCGACTCATTGAAGAAAAAATCTTCGTCCAATACGAGGTGAGTAATCGCTGTCCTGATATCCAGAAGCTCTTTTTGGTCATAAGAGACGGTGGCAGAAACATCATGTACAGATAAATTACAAATAACATGAAAAAACACACATAATAGTTCAATTGGTTAGAGGGCTGTAAAACGGCAGCCATCTTCTCCAGCGCCATCTTCTATAGGACTATGCAATTGCGGGAGAAAACAGAGTGATGGCCTCTATTAAAAAGAGGAGGATCCCATCAGCTTTCTATAGGCTAGGCCTACTATATTTATTTCTCAACTTTCCTAATATTAAGCACATTGCTTCTCTTTACAACAGGAGTATAGCCTACCTGGCTGGCATGAAAATAAACCATGGGGAAAAGCGTCCTCCATTCGCTATTTAAGTGCATAGATTACATGTATTTTTCCCCGCTGCCCCTGTTTCGATACAGGTGCATGACAATGGTCCATTCTAAATCAAAACAAATGTCACACGTATATTATTTAGTATATGTAAAGACAAGATTAAATCAAGAATAGTCTGATGGGTGACAATATTAGCCAGTGTAGATGAAGGGGAGGAGACAGGTTAAAGAAGGATTTTTTAATGATGCCCTGCATAAGAAACAAAGCCATTTTTTTTTTTTAACTTGTTTGAATCATAGTCGCATACCTCATGTAGCCTAGCCCCTAGGCCTATATGTTTTAATAATGTTTGTATCACAACTAAAGTGGCCAAATAACTTCTTAAAATTAAGCACATTAATCCGCTTTACAAGCGGTGTAGAGCCTAACTGGCATACATAAGCAGCACGTGAATTTGGGGAAGATAATTTTCACCATAAAAATGCACCTTTATAATAAAAG